TACATTCTCCTAGCACTCCATGTTTTCCTTTGCTGTGCTTGCTACAATTTTAGTGGCTGAGTACAAGATTTAATGAAAAAAAATCCTTCTTTATATATAGTATTCTATACAGCTTTATAGAGCTTGCTCCTTCTATCTGGCTTCATGCTCCTTTTTTATACTAGAACATTTAGTAATTCAGCAAGAATATATAGGTAATAGATTCTCACAGTTTTTGTTGATCTGAAAATACTTGTATGTCTGAAAATATTTTGTCTTCACTCTTGAGTCACAGTTTACAGGACATGAAGATATTAGTCTATTGTCTTTTAATATCTATTGTTGATGAAAAGTCTACGGTCAATTTTGTCACCCCGTAGGTATTCTTTCTTTGGTCCTCAGTAGCTTTTATAATACCTTCCTCATCAATGATGTTCTGAGTTTCATTCACACCTAGTTAGGTGTGACTTGTTCGTACATACTCCAGACTGGCTGACCTTTATTCAACCTGAGGACCCAAGTAAAGTGAGATTTATTCAATTTTGTTAAATGTCAGTCATTTATATAAAATATTCTCTATTTCCCAGGCTCTCTACTTTTTCAGTCTGGAAATCTTTTCAGGCATATATTTGAGTTTTTTTATTCCATTCTCTGCATCTACCAGTATTTTCAGCAAAGCAAAATTATCCTCAGCATTGCTCAATTAATGCATTCATTTTTCTTCTCTAATGAATCCACTATTTAAAAAGTTCTATGGGTTATTATTTTAGTAATTATATTTTAATCTCTGGACCTGTTATTATTTCCAATCTTCCTTTTCCCTATGCAAAATGGTTTGCGTTTATTGTAGGAATACCATTCCATTCTTTTTAAAAATATTTTTGAACATTAAAAAAATACAACACTTTAAAAAGTTTAAACACTTATGTTTAAAAAATTTTTGAGAGAGAGAGACAGCACACAAGTGGGGGAGAAGGGCATAGGGAAAAAGAGAGAGAAGCTTAAACAGGTTCCATGCTCAGCACAGAGTCCAACGGAGGGCTCCATCCCACGATCCTGGGATCATGACCTGAGCTGAAATCAAGAGTCAGACGCTCAACCAACTGAACCACCCCGGCACTCCATAAACACTTATTTTAATGTCCTTTACTGATTGTTGTCTTATGTCTAATTTCCTCAGATGTGCATTCTTTTATTTTTTGGCATCTGTTAATATAATTTATGAAAAGAATTTTTTCTTAACCATTATCATTTTAGTCTGTGACCTAATTTTGCTTAGGAGTTCCACACCAGCCCTGGATTGTGGTGGTACTTTGTGCAATTTTTTGGCTGCATGATCTTGATCTCTGGGAGATTAACTTTCAAATGCTACAATTATGCTTAATAAAAATTACACATAAGTTTCCATTAAGAAATTTTCAAAGCCTTCGGTTTTTTTCTTACCTCTTTCTCTACCTTTCTGTAGGAGATAGGAATTCAGACAGGGTACTATGGACGTGTTTATGGGGAATTATGCCTTCATGGGGTACAATCACCAGCTTTGCATGAAATTTCCTGCAAGTACTTTGTGACTCTACATAAAACTACGTGTTCAAGGATTATGGAATCTACTCTGTAACCTACATTGAACAAAATATATCTATCTGTTGCTAATAACATTATAAATCTCTCTCTATATATTATATATATATTAAAAAAATTAAAAATCATGTCCCTCTTCCAGTGTCAACTGAAAGAAGAAGAAAGAAAATTTTAAGCCACTGAGCCCTTATAATACAGCAGGTGTTTTACAAATACCGCCATATTTCATTATCACAAAAGTCCATATTCCCATGGCACAGATGAGAGAAATCAGGCTGAGAGATATTTACCCATGAGCATACAGTTAGCAGACAGAGTAACTGGGATACATATTCTGGGCGGTTCACCCCAGAAAGTGGCCTTTTTACTAGGCCACGCAGGTGTTACGAAACATCCTACGGAGAAATTCCTTATGTTCAGTTTACAATCATCGCTTGGTCTTCAATGAGCAGCCAGGTCTCAAGACAACAGGAAGCATATTAGAAATGTCTTCTATTCCTAACTAGGACTGGGGCTTCAACCTCCTGAATACTCAGATTCCTCCTAATCTGTTTTCCCTTCTCTACGGTCTCTCGGATTATCCTGAGGACCATCATCTGGTGACCCTTGGTACTCTGCTTTGGTCTACATGCCTGTCTGGCCCAGGGCTGCCTGATGGTTCCCTCAAAGTTCTAGGCCTTGCCTGAGCTTTATTATGACCATATGTAGCTCTGACATGGACATATTTCCTGAAGTGCACAAAGTGTGCACTGCTTAGTCCATTTTTGAGCCTTTATCTCTGAACTAAGGAAAATAAACTTCACATTTTAAACACAGCTCTCAACTGTTAGGCACTTTATAGTACCACCTGCAATCTTGAATTGCTACTCCTAAGATATGAAAGACTAACTGAAAATCGCTGCATCAAACAAAGTCTAGAATTTACATCTAGAGAGAACAGAAAGGGACATTGGGGAGAATGAAAGATGAGAGCAAGAGAAAAAGAACCAGGGAGCAGTAAAGAAAGAATACTGAAGTTATGACTACCTGTGCAGGATCGGGGCCACTGTAGGATTATTCCAAACGTAACTCCTGGTTAAGCTGTTCTACTCGTGGCTAATCTCAAATGGCCTCAGTGTATGAAAATTGGGTAAGATGACTCTAACCAAGTTGCAGACATATGAAATCAGTTTTTCGATATATATGAGTAATCAGTGGAATAAAAAGATACATCTTGGATCTCTCCCTCTCTATCACCTTTTAGTCCTAATTAAAATTCAAAGCCAAATATAACTGTAGTATTAAATTGATTAGTCTTCATACGTATTGTTATTGCTTCTGTGATCACAGAAAACCAGAGTTCACGTAAAAATATTTTCCCATCCCAGGCACCTTGTGAATTTTGGATCTCTCAGATATAAAATCAAGAAGAAAGTTTAAGAGGAAATGTATCATAGCATTTTAGTATGATTTTTAAAACGTTATGCTGGTTCAAAAAAATCCTTACTTGATTTTACCAACCACCATTACGCTTTACAAATACGTGTTAAGAGTCCTTTTATGTACGAAGGCATAATGACACTTTGAGTGGGTGGTTTGTGGAGATTTTTGATCTTGTGTCTATTTAACTATAAAATGTTAATAACTTACCTGGACCAGGTTCTAAAAAAATTAATCCTGCATATATGATTTGTCAAGATATGGGAAAATTGGAATGGAGAAATTAGTTAGTAGTCAGATAAATCAAAGCAAGAGACTTGTCCCTGAATGATCTATTAAATTGAGAGAAAATATTTAACTTGAATTTTCTTTATGGTTGCCTTAATCTTTCAATTCATTTTGTATCCATACACACAGGCTTTCTGTTAGTGTAAGCTTCAGTGATTTATGACATATTATGTTCATAACATCTAACAGGAAGGATAATAGGCTGAAATGTGCAATCAGCTGGAAATGGACTTCAAGTGTAATATAGTCGCAATATATTATATTACTTCTTCCAATTTCTCAGAATATTCAGTGGCTATTAAATCTTAGGGTACTGGGTTTCATCAAAGGCAGTGTATTCATGGATTTTTCTAATGTGTAAATACAATCAACATAATATGCAGTGTATTTTCCCTTGGTTAATAAGCAGCATTAACAAAATTGTACACTTATAAAATAAAGTTACGTCATCTAAGGCATATTTTTTAAATATGCCAAATTAAATGGAATCAACCCATAAGAAATTCCCAAAAAAGTCTCATCTGAAGGTTGAAACCAGCGAAATTGTCATTTACATAGGTCAAAAATGATGGAATATCTGTGGGTTTCATGTGATTCAACCCAACCGAATAATAAATCCTTATTTCCCAGACTTTGACACACTTGTCTTATAAGGAGCATTATTTTTGCAAAATTACATAGCAGTAACCATTCCTCTTCACGTTATGGTATCTCAGAATCGGAACAAAAATATTTTTTGAAAAATTCTATGGTTTATACCTTATTACCAAAAAAAGAACTATGAAGACCAAGCTTATGATTATGAATTGCCTTTTTAAAAATAAAATCACGGGGCGCCTGGGTGGCGCAGTCGGTTAAGCGTCTGACTTCGGCCAGGTCGCGATCTCGCGGTCCGTGAGTTCAAGCCCCGCGTCAGGCTCTGGGCTGATGGCTCAGAGCCTGGAGCCTGTTTCCGATTCTGTGTCTCCCTGTCTCTCTGCCCCTCCCCCGTTCATGCTCTGTCTCTCTCTGTCCCAAAAATAAATAAATAAACGTTGAAAAAAAAAATAAAAAAAAAATAAAAAATAAAATCACAAACTTTCCATTCAGTTGTTTCAAAGAACAGTTGCTCCTTTTCCCTTTGGCTTGTAATATTTCAGTAGTCACAATATTTGATATTATCCAATCTGCTGTCAGTTATAAGCCATCTTATTAGGCAGCCAAGTCTAAAAAGCCTTTTAACCCATTAAGTAGCTAGGGCAGATACAAAGACTAAACTACTATTCTTGAAGTCAATGACATAAGATTCTTATGCAAGTTGATATAAGAAGATGGTTCACAAGAGATTTATTGTTTACTATGTATACATTAAGAAAGTAAAATTAGCATGGGATGGTCTCAGGAGAGCAATACATATTTTTGGATCAGACACTGAAATAAAGTAAATGTATGATCAATTGACAAATTCACATTGCCAATGTTATGAAAAAAATGATGTGGCAAAACAAATTAAGATGTAGTTTTCATTTTTGATAAAGGGGCGGTTTCCTCCGTGCTGTTAATTTCTTGTGTTTTTAATCTGAAAACTTAACCGCTAGTTGTTGCCGAAGCCCCAAGCGAGGGCAAACTACTCACTTGCAGAATGCATATTAGAAGCCTGAAATTGCACCCAGGTTGTCTTTTCCTGTTAGTTGGCCTCTGTTATTAGAGTAGTAGTTGCAAACACATACGTGGGTTTGCCAGTAACAACTCACAATTTGTGCAAAGTTGAGTCTTCGAAACTGAGCAAATTTGCTCTCAATTTCCCGCCAGCGCTTGCTGAGCTGGATCTGAGTTGGCTCCACTGCCATTGCGGCCCCATCCTCAGACAAGCCCTCAGCTTGCCTACGCACTGCATTCAGCTCCTCTTTCTTCTTCTGCAATTCACGATCAATTTCCTATTGAGCAAAACCAATACAGGGCCCAGGGCAGTTAGCTAACCACATCAACCAACCTGCAAGCAGCACATACTTCTCTCAGAAACCTCCTAGGCTGTTGTCATTTTATTGTCATTTCCCGTAATTTACAAATATGGAAGCCATCACTGTCATCTTCACCCAAGAATCCAAATGGTATTTCAGTTATCTTTTGAATGCTCAGTTTTAGATATGCTCCCTAAGAAAATATTTAAATTGATCTAACATTTTTCTTTCTTCTCAATTCCTCTAGTGTTTTGGGGGTTGACCCAAACTGAAGTGACTACTCATTACTGATTAGGGACCATCCACATAGAATATAATTTAGAGGGTGAGTGGCTATTTATTTTCTTTTTTAAAAGTTTTGAGGAACTCAACAGAGAATGAAGCAAAATAAAAAGTGTAAAATAATAACAGGAAAAAAAAAACATCTTCAGACAATATGCAAATAAATCTATAGAGATTTGACACTGATGTGTGAAGATGCTCTGATGAAATGAATGTGCTAACATGAGAAAGAAGCCGTCCATATACCGATAAGTCATTTGTTCATCTGGAACAAAGATACACAGAGTCAATTACAATTTTACCAGGAAACATACGACATTTCTTAACTCATTTTACATTGTCTAAAAATAAAACATTTTATTCATTCAACAGTAGGTCAATTGAAAAACACTTAATACAGTACATTTACTAAAACAACACACAATACGAGGAAATGCAGCAAATCAGAGAGCACGCTAAAAGAGGAAACAGCAACAATTTCAAATATCATCCACCCATGTTAAGGTAAAGAAATTAAACTGTAGCAATAAAATCTAGTATTGACATTCTAAAACAACATTACCTTTATTTTCCTTTCATCTCTGGGTTCAGGTAGGCTGGCTAATTTTTTTTCAATGTCATCCAAGCATTTCAGGAGATCATCAGCCTGCCTCTTGTACTGATACCACTGGTGAGAAATTTCTAGAGCCTTTTTTCTTCTTTGAGACCTCAAATCCTGTTCATGGTGCAGATATTATTACAATATCAATATATATGTATAGGACACTTCTGGCTGCAGTTATTTAAAAATACTGAATCCCTCATCTTCTTGTACAGCTTTACTTAAATTCACATTTAAATGCTAAATATACAAATAGATGATTAAATGAGGTATTCGTGTGGCAGGACCTACTAAGACAAAGCTAAGAAAACTGGACAACCCACATAAAGTATTTTCTCCTGGCATGTTCAAATTTGTTGAGAAATCTCATATTTAATTGAGTAAATGAGTCAACTATATTATCATGTAGTCTATGTGAAACAGTTTAGTATATGAATACAAACGAATTAACTAGATATTTGCGCCCATTTAATGAGTTTATATTTGACTTTTAAAACAGATAAAAAATCTAAAATTTAGATCTTCAGCCCCGGGTTCGTCAATAAAAGTTTAAGTTTACATAGCCAAGCAACTACATTCACGGTTTTAGAAACCCCTGCAAAAAGTTTCATAGGCCTTGAATATTTTGTGATTAGAAATATAAAATCATCTGAGTTATCATGTAAATTGTTTTGAGCTCTCCCTCTCTCTCTATATATAGATAGATAGAGAGAAGTGTGAAAGATATATCTGTGAGTGTACATGAAAATGACAACTATTACAAAAATGCTTTCTCTTTTGAGGCTTGCATGGCCAACTTTTTTTATTATATCAACTCATGTTCCAAATGCAAAATGATGAATTAGTTAAAAAAGAAAAGGGAAAGTGCATGGCTTCCAATCAACCAGATGAGATAAATAAGGGCAACTGCTTAATAAATCAACAAAGGGTGGAAATTAATCATCTTGTTCCTTACAAGCTCACCCAATGTCTTCCCTGATCAATAGAATTTGTTATAATGCCATTATATGGTAACACAAGGGAACATAAGAGCTCAGAATACAGCTTTCATTTCTTCAGAACAGTAGCAATTAGGGTTTCATGTACAGATTTAACTGGAGCAAAAGAAAATAATGAATATCAAAGAATTGCTGAAATATTCATTGCTTTGGAACGTTCTGACCTTCTTTGAAGTATTTCGTAAGGACTAGAACTGGAGCCCTTTGGAAGGATAATATAGTTACTGAATTTGATGGTGTAGAGTAGTTTGGCAGGTGGAATACATTTTCAAAACTGCTTTTAATATTTATTTGCAAGAGTGATCTAAATTTCGTTCTCCATTTGGTTTAAAACTGAGGATGTAAAATTTACTGCCGTTTACATTTTTAGTTGAATTTCTAAACCTCCTGTGGAGGTAATAAATGCCTGGGATGAGCCAGATGGAATGCTGCTTTTTTCAAAGGTACCAAGATACAGCCACGCGAACGAGAGCTGAGCCATGTCTTCTTCATGACACGACTCAAATCTTGGCCAAGAGAAAGGGCTTGTGGTCATAAAATCTGAAACTCCTCTCATTCCCTAAGCACAAGGTGCTGTGTAATGTGTAAAGATATTTAGAGACATTATATAGATCTCTTTAGAGATATGCCAGATAACCATTAAACACTGCTGTTCAGTAGGACACGTATCATCATATGACCAGTGTAGATGCTTCTGAAAGCTTGGTCACAGTTGGAAGTGTGTGAATTACACAGCTTTCTGATTTTTCTGAGCACATTATGGCTTGCTCTTGCACTCCCTCAAGGAAGAGGCCTTTTCTATTTACTATATGTATCAGCAGTTACCTTCAGAACACCTGCTGGCCAATTAGACTTTCCTTGTGGATTCCTTGCAGGCACAATATTGTGTAATTACATTCTCAGCAGTGTTTATTTGGTTGTCTGACTATATGGGGAAAGGTTTTATGCTCTTATTTGCATAGTGAAAGCAGACTTCATCCACCTAGTAGGTGGATCTACCCACATAGCTACATAGCTCTATACGAGTGATTTACGATGAAAAGCTTGGCAATTAACAGTATTAGAAAATCAGCCATGCATGCCAATACAGAATATTGAAAAGCACATTAAAAAAATAAAAGGTTATGTCACAAAACTCTTCACATGTCCAGTCTCATGTCAAGAACTTCCTAATTATTATTATAGAAAAAAAAAAAAAAAACAACCCTATTCTGTCTTTTCTGCACAAAAAGCCATGTGAATCACATGGGGGTTAAAGCTATCCCCTACTGCTGGTTAATATGAGAGGGCCAGTTTTTCTTCAAGGACATTAAGATTCTTTTTGAGGATTCCTATATAAATGAAATTAGACTCTGTAGATGCTTATTCAGTTGCAAAGAGCGACTCTCTTAAAGGCAAAATGAAGTTAATTGAAAAAAAATTAAGTAGAATTCCAGGCCTTACTAAATGCATATTAGGTTACCAAAAGACTGGACCTACTTTAAGTAAGATCAGTAAACTATAGGAAGCAGAAAACCTGAAAAAATATAAATTGGTTTTCTGGCAGTTAACCAGGTTTTGCAAGACAGACGTAAAAATATCATTAAAAAAACTGTATTAGAAAATTAAATGTATAAACACTGTGACTGAAGCATGTTAATATTTTTCAATCACTACCCAGAAAATTCTAAGCAAAAAACCCACAAATTTTTAAGTAATACATCTTTCAAAATCAAAGACACCACTCAAAAATGTTAAATAAAGCGCACACACTGAAACAGGAAAAAAAAAAACGTATCTCTGGGGACTAAGATTCTTAAGCAGATTTTATTGATGCACAATATAGTTTACCCTACATAGGAAAGAAAAAAAACCCACAGGCAAGGTATATTATAATTTTAGCTCTAATACCTTGAGAGCATTATGTTTTGTCTGTAACAGCTGCTGTTTTATCTTTATTTCCTCTCGCTTTCTCTCATCTGTGATTCTTTGTTGTAAGTTGTCTCCTCTTTGCAACAATTCTTTTACAGTACCCTCATTGTCTTCACTCTGATTAAAAACAACAAGTACAGTCTTCATTTTGGTTTTTAAAAAGCTGTACATCGTTAACAGAGATAATAAGACATGTTACTGAAACACACACAAAAAATTCCAATTTTAAACTTTCAGGACTATTATTCTAAGATATTGTGCTCATAGTTTTTATTTTTCTTTTAAGTGGTTTACTGTAGCTCTTAAAAGGAGGAAGTTTCCTCCCATCTAGTTCAAAAGGACCACACTTGACCGGGGGCACGTGTAGGAAGATCAGGTTGTAACTTATTTCATCGTTTCACACAAGTCATCAAGTGGTTTTGATTTCTTAGGGCATATCTAGAAGTTAAACCAGTTTGGAGAAGTGAACTAAACTTGTCATTTATAATATTAATCAGCCCATGCAGGAATATTGGATGTGGATGTGTGAGTGTGAGACGGCAACAATTTTTAAAATTTTACCACACTCACTCCTAAGTGAATGTGTTTTGTTTTAAATGTACACTAATTTCTACCTAATCATCTATTTTAAATAAGCTATATGTCCAAATTTCTGACAAATATAAGGGCGTTAGTAAAAAAATGATGTGCTAGATTGCTGTCAATAATGCAAATAATGTCTACAAATGTATCATTAATGTGTGTTGTTTTTAAAAACTCTAATCAAATAAGTATTAAAATGTAGGTTAGGGAAATTATTTTTAAAATGTTCAGAATGCATTTAGTTTTTTAAACTCCAAGAATAATATTTTTATTTTATTTACTTTGAAATAAAATGATTTGAATAAGTGCCAGTTTAACAGGACAGCACATGTGACCAGGTGATTTTCCATCTGTGGTGTCCTATCTTTCTTTGAACTCAGTATATGAAAGCTTTCTTTTGCAGAGGTTCACCTTGCATGGCCCTCAAGGTAGTCTGATGAGCTAAGATAACAAATATTAGACAATTTTTTTAAAAGTCACATGTATGTGTATTTGCGTGTAATCATTCATAGTACTCAGAGGTACCTATTTACATCTGCACCGCATATTTAAACCACTATACACAAATGAAGAATTATTTTTTCAGAGGAACATCATTTTTATCTGAGATGTGTCAGTTACTAGTTTGGCAAAATGTAACATAGAGATACGTTTATAATTTGTGAAAGACCTTCCTTATTTTAAAAAGTCTGCGACATTTCCTAAGGCTGAGGACAAAAACCAATAACAAAAATCCCACTTCATTTCTTTCCCCATGCCAGGTGACGGCTATAGGGCAGAGTCTGTGAACAGCCCAAGAGGTAAGCAGTGTTCTTTTTCACCTCGGGACCCTTGGGTTTCTTCTTTGACATGAAGGAGAGGTAGGTGTAACTCAGCATCTTGGAAAACCTCTTCTTGACTTTCTTTCCATGAGCTGAGTTGGCAAGGCCACCAAACCCCATACATGGGGAGGACGGACTGATTTCGGGCAGCTCCAGGAACTCAGAATTGTTACCACTGAGAACTAAGATTAGTGGAAATAGTTTTCCTATTGCTTCCCATACCTACAATCTAAAATTTATATGCTGCCTTGTAATGTCATTTTAAAGCATGGCTGAGAAGTTCCTAGCATTGATGTGTGTCTGAGAAATCTCGAGCATGACATATGTAAAGGTTAAGAATGCCACATTGGTGATGGCTGTGGAAGAGGGAAAAGGAAATTGTGAAAAGGATGTGGAAGGAGAAATAAGTCAGGAAAAAGGGATGTGATGCAGAACTATTCAAGCCAGAGAGAAATGTAACAGATATTTTGAAATTAATCAGGGTTGAAAGGAGAATGTTATGAGTTTGGGAAGAGCCCACATGGTTATATTCCCTTACTCCCATGAAATAAGCAGCATGAATTCATACATATTTTAGACATCTAATGTACTATTTAATTGACTTTTTGGCAAAACTAGTTTGTAGTAAACTTTAGTAAATATTTTTTATATTGTTTGTAATACCTCTTCTCTGACACAAACATTAAATTACCAAAAATCATGACTGACACAAAACATCAGCCATCCTCAATGGCTGAGTTTCTTATTAAATGTCCAGTTAATCTTCTGATTTAACTCTTTTCTCCCCATTACATTCTGTCCTCTGAGTTTGAAAATTGCACAGGTCAAAACAAAACTGCTGAACTGTTTATTAGAATCTGCAAGTGCTCCTATGTGACCATACCATAGTAATTTGGCATTCATAATAAAGGTTCAACAAGAATACTTTGCATTTGTAATAAATCATTAGAATCACAAAATGGGCAAGGTATGCACTGAGAATCGAGTTGGAGACTTGAGTTATCTAATTTCTTTCCAACTATTTATTCATTTTCACTCCTAGTTCATTCACACTTTTATCACAACCAATTTACCATATCTTTATTGAAGTCTTCCTCTTTCAGATTCACCCCCTGCTGAATTTCAGCCTCCAGTGGTTCAAGCAATTTTTGTATATCTGAGTTAAACTGCTCCAATTCCTTCAAAGGAATGGAGGCCTAAAAAAAAAGATAGTGCTAATTTAAATCAAAATTACTTTTTATTAGAAACATAAACCCCAAAAATTACATTCGTTCAACCTCCTGTTGCTAAAATAATGACATGCATTATGTTTCCACATTATATTTTATGAAAGCTTTGAAATACAACTGGGAAAGTACCTGGGGATGCAAATAAAGGCAAACACGTAACATTATCAGAGCTCAACATACATGCAAGATAATGCAATTCGTTATTTTGTTTTTTCAACAAAGCCAATTTCCATATATTTGATTGAGCTAATTGTTAATATTCTAAAGTTGAATTTCATCTTATTTAAAATATTCTGATATAAATACCATTTTTGTAAATATGTCTTCTCAGAAATTTGCCTCATTCATCAAGTAACAGTAACCTCAGGTAGAAATGCAGAATTGTCTCCTTATCCTCAGAAAACTACACAGCCATCTGCCCCAATATTTTAAATGACATTTTTAGCATGGAAAATATGACAGGCACACTCTCATAAGACAAACAATGCCAGGAGCTTGCCTTAGGAATGCTTTCTTTGGTAGCACACACAAAAAAATTCAAATGAATGAACCCAGAACATTTCACATAAAAATCTGAATGTATGTTTTCCAACCTTACAAACATCACAGTTTCTTTGAGTTTGAAATTCATAATGACCATAGTCTCAAAAAACTTGAAAACCTTTTTCTCTAAGGAAACCACTTGAAGAGTGATGAATAAAACCACATTGAAAATCAAATATATATTCGAAAGAGTAGGCAAGACTTAATTATCAAAGTTCCAACAGTTAAGAAAATATGCATTCTATTGCTCTTTACCCTGTATTCAATTTCTTCGCAGTAACACACTAAGAAATTGTTTCTCCCTCATAGCTTCTGAAAATTCACAGATGACATAGAGAAATCTTGTTTTCTTACAGAGCCAACCATTTCCCTACTTGTAAAACCAACTCAGGAACGACCCTCAGTGTCTTATGCCTGGATGACTGCATGTATCAAGTGTGGTCCCCATCTACTGCTCCCCATCACATTCCCAGCCATAGTCTTACTCTTTATTAAATGGCATCTCCTAGAGGACAACAAAGATAAGTGTTCCAGGAAAAACCAAGTATCTAAAGGTATAGTTACTAATGAAGAAGTGAATAATCAAATGCCGTTCACCAGAACACGGCTGCCACATACAACATGAGTATACAGTTATCTTCCGGGCACTTTTACACACACCAGAAAGGATTTATGGGCTTTTTTGAAAAGTGACTCATTTTCAATATTGCTTTTAAATCCTAATGAACATCCACAATGTGAAAAGTCATAAAAGGTTCCTGAACCAGTAGAGAATGATAGTATCGTACACATATTTAAGGGATGTTTCCATCTCTGTATTATCAACATACTTCTACGCTTTAAAAACATATTGGGGCGCCTGGGTGGCGCAGTCGGTTAAGCGTCCAACTTCAGCCAGGTCACGATCTCGCGGTCCGTGAGTTCGAGCCCCGCGTCAGGCTCTGGGCTGATGGCTCGGAGCCTGGAGCCTGTTTCCGATTCTGTGTCTCCCTCTCTCTCTGCCCCTCCCCCGTTCATGCTCTGTCTCTCTCTGTCCCAAAAATAAATAAATGTTGAAAAAAAAATTAAAAAAAAAAATAAAAACATATTGCTCAAAGTGTGGTAAAAGCAAAAAAAAAAAAAAAGCTTTAGCATCAAGATGAAACAATCTTAATGTGATACTATTCTGTGTCACTGAATTGTTCGCATTTGCTAATTTTTAATTAGACCAACTTCATTGTTCTACATAATTTTGTGAAAGTAAAATGATAGGTACTATTTACAATAACTTTTATTGAGTGCTTGGGTGTCAAAATAAAATGGGTCCATTTGCCGGCAGATTTATCTGTTCTACTTCTTTGTACGCTTCCTATCTAGCTCACTCTATCTCCATATAATCCAATACAGAAGGTAATTTCAAAGGCTTCACATTCAGGTCTCTATGCCTCTTTCTCAATACTGCTTGACTAAATGCATTGTATTATCTTCCAAATTTAACTGTAACTTTCATAACACCTCCCAAATATTCATCTTTAGCTGGTGCTTCACTTCTGAATTTTAATACAGACTCTCCTAGAGCCAGCCGATACCTCACTTCAAGTTCAACATATCTAGAAAGGAGCTCATTATCTTTCCCCCAAGCTGCTTGCAACACCAACTTCCCTAGTTTTGTAAATAGAAGACTACTTTCCTCACTCATCCAAACTTAAAATGTGAGTCATGTTATTTTTCAACACTTCACTCTAGTAAAATCATTGTGAACTCATTCACCATGATCTACTTGCTTTCTATTCCCAGAGACACCATAGTCTCCTAGTCCTCACACAGGAATTAAGGCAACAACCTCCTTATAGGGGTATAATCTCCTTCTCATGTCACCAGTTCCATCCTGTGCACTGCGATCAGGTCAGTATGCTACAAAAACACGGCTTTCATTAACCTATTTTTCTATTCAAAAAGTACAAGTAGAATAAAGCCTGAACTCCAACATTATAGTCAAGGCTTCCCCTAACATTGTCCCAAGGACCTTTCTAGCCCTATTTAAGTGTTCCCAGTATCAACCTTTCTTACAAGCCTATTGGTGAACTCTGTGTATTACCCCCCACCTTGGCCTTTAGAATGTTTTTAATCTTTGGTGAAGAGCCTAAGCTCCTGAATGAGAACACCTAGACTGAATTGGGATGCCACCATTTAGTAGCTGGGGGATCTTGCACAAGTTATTTGTCCTCTCTGAGTCCAGTTACTCTATTGTAGCGTGAAGATAAGAAGAATATCTACCTTACAGGGGTGTTATGAGAATCAAATAAATTAGAATGTTGTCTGAGATACAATAAATGCTCAGTTAATATCGGTTACTATTTTCACCCTAAATCCTATGTATCCATATGACATATGATAAACACTCAGTAAATATTGACTCTTAATGTTGCCTCTCAAAACTGTACCCATCCATGACTTCATTAAAAGATATTCTTTTGAAAACATATGGTTTATGAAGAATAAAATAAATGCTTATTGCATTAGCATTTCTACTTTGCCAAGGTATTTGACAAAGTCATTAAATTCTGATGATGAACATGGAGAAACTGAGACTCAGTCTGGCAATGTAGCATTCTGAACAACAAAACTTGCTAATTAATTAATCTGTATCAACGCAGAGGGTAGTTTCAAGGAGGATGCCAAAGGGCTTTGTATTTGTTCTGCCACATGCAGTATTTTCATCAGGGATTGTTTGGAGACATAAAAAGTATGTAAAAACAAAACAAAACAAAACAAAACAAAACAAAACAAAACAAAACAAAACAAAACCATGCAGAGAGAGGAATGAATTCCATGAACACCCCATGAAGATAAGGGATTTGCTGTCTTGTTCAACATGGAGTCATTCCTTGTACAAAGTAGCCACTCACAAATGAATATTTCCTGAAATACTTAGTAAATGAAGGACTAATCATGGGATAATAGAATCAACATTTCATGGAACTCCTGAATGATCTAGAAATTTAAATAACACAATTTCTAGTGTATAAAATCGAAAGGACCTGATTGGCCAAATGCTAGCAACAATGTTACCACCAACTACAAAAATGTTATAAGTAGATACAAATAGCTTTTAGGAAACATTACTACAACATGATTAATTAATAAAGCAAGATAATGCAAAGTCAGATTTTTATTAGTAGTACATGTGGGGTCCAGATTTCCTGATCAAAGACTGCCTTGCTTTTGTTAAAAAAGGTCACTATACAGAGTAAGGATTTGAATTATTCTGTGTGGCTCCAAAGTGAGTAACTTGAATCAATGTGTAAAAGTTACTTGGAGCCTGAATTTTAGTTGAATACAGGAACAGCTGATTAGTGCTATCAATGTTTTTTTTTTAATTATTTTTAAGAGCACTAATTGTAAAGTAGTGAGTTTCTCCTTGCTGAAAATACACAAGCAGAAGCAGGATGCTGACATATTAGGGTCTATGTTAGCAATAAGACACTTCTCACATAAATATTTCCCTAAAATTTTATCATCTTATAGTAAATTCTGTCCTCTGAATTCAAAAGGTTTTGTTTATCTGTAGCAATGCAGCTAAAGAGCAACAGAATGCAAGTCAGATATGTAATTTTAAATGTTTTAGATGCCATACTAAAAAGTAAAAAGGATCAAATTAATTATACTTTATTTACCTGATATATCCAAAATATCATATAAACCTATAATCGACATAAAATAGAAGATATTTTACATTGACTTTTTCATACTAAGACTTCAAAACCTACTGTGTATTTTACACTTCCAGCACTTCTTAATTTGTAACAGCCACATTTCATATAATAGCCATATGTGGTTCGTGGCTACTTTTTTTAGACAGTACAGATCAATAGTAATTATTATAACCATGACTTTTGAAAAGAATGGTTATGAGTTTGAAATACATCATAAGAGTAATGTCTTACTAGTGTTAGGCAAGCTGCTGATGTTTTATGTAGTAAATTTTAGTGGATACAGGTAATTTTTATGGTATCCCTCTCATTCACTTACATTCAAATATGTTTTGAGAGGAATTTTGCCGAATCCTTCTGGGGATAGGAAAATTTATGGAATGGGTTCCACATGTTCTATCAGGAGTTTCCATTCCTCATTTAATGTACATTGTACTGCAGTGTCTCTTACATGTTCAATATCATGTTATATGGCTTTTAAGAGTTTATGCTTTGTCTCACCAGTAGGTATTTAATCCTTGAAGTTTAGGGTATATATGCTCTATTTTCCGTAGCAAATATAACTCCTTTTTTCATATAGATGAGGTACTTACTATATCAACAACTAGTTTTAAAGCATCCAATATATTAACTGAAGTAACCAGTGACCAATTTTGTAACCAAAATAACCATAGGTACTCAACCCAATTATTTTGTCTGTACTATTGGCATGATCAGACCAGCCATCTGACA